AGAAAACCCAGTAGAGGGGCTGAATTGCTGGTATGAACTGGCAAGCAAAACAAAAGAGAGGTTGCCTTTTCTTCCTTCCTCACCCTCCTTTCCAAATCACCTCTAACTAGAGCCCCCTAAGTGACCTTATGTATGTCTTTGTATGGGGGACCACTGAAGAAACTAGAATCTGCAGGACTGGGAAAAACAAAAGCTGAAAGGGGGTTATGACACACGTATAAAGAAATAAGAAGAAAGTAAAAAGGAATCACTGTTCATGTCCTCTTCCAATGGAAGAACCAGGGATGATATGAAGTAAATGTCCAAATTCAAAGCAAACAGCACAGTTAAGGTGTTCAACTCCTATGGATGCCAAAAATTCCTGCTCACAGATGGAACAGTGAAAGGGTGACAGAACAAAAAAGGAAGAAAGTGACCCGTGTAACCACAGGCCTGACCTCAACAGCGTGCCCGGGTCTAGAAGAGATTTGGACAGAAATAACCAAGGGCATAAGGACAAACAGAAAACAGGACAAAATGTAACATAATTTTCTCCAGGCATGTATTTCTTTGATTAAAATAGCTGCATTTTTAGACAAAAGCGACATGCAGATTTAAACTACTCACATATCAGTAAAGCACTCCTTTTGCTGCCTTGGAAATGCTTAGGTAAATTGCATAAAGTGCTGATAAGCTGGAGAACATAGATATCAATGTGAAAACTGCATAGTAGGTGAGAACTAATTACTGTGTGGTGCTTACAGAGAAAGTGTTAAGGAGGAAGGGAATTTAATTTAGTTTTCAGTAGATTTCCTGAAGGATCTGTCTTGCATCTGATTTAATTTAATATTTTCATTAATGGCCTTGGCACAAAAAGATGTTGCCACTGAAACTGCTGACATTGCAAATTTGTCCATGCAGTGGGGGGTTAGGATATTGTACAGGAAGAACTGCATAACCCTGGGCACTGCAATAACAGAGATGGGATGAAAATAAATACTATAAAGTGCAAAGTTGTGTGTTTAGGGACCAATAACAAGTATTTCCGTGTTAAAACCAGGATTCATACATTGGAAACAAAAGAGGAGGAAAACATCTGGGATGACTTCAAGCCACAAACAGGATGCAGCAAGGAAATAAAGCAAAGGACTCATCAAGACAGTAATTGCCAGTGGAGACAGGAGAGTTTGGATGAAAGTGAATAAGGGCTGGACAAGCCTTAGACTGGGATACCCTGTACAATTCTGGTCACCTATGCACTTGAATGATGAATGTAGGTTAGAACACTAGTAGAGAAAGTGACCGAAAGAATGAAGAGCTCCTCATCCAAGGAGTTAAAGAAGAGTAATAGAATTTGCGCAGGAACATGATGAAAAGGGGACATATCCTGGTTGCTGTATCATAAGGCACTTAGCACAAGGATAAGAGCTAGAGAGGGTGAGGTGTAATATGAGCAAAGGAACAGTCCTGGCACAGGAACAAATGGATGAAAAAAGGCAGTGAATTAATTAAAGTTGAAAAGATCTCAACCCACAAAAACAGCAGGGTTACAGAAGAGCCTTCTACTGAGGGAAGGAGGCTATGAAGTACAATTGGTTTTATGGAGAGAAGTGTATGACACACTGCTGGTAATAGCAGAAGACTAACTCCTGGATTCAGGAAACCCTTTCAAGCCCTAAATAATAAAAAGAAGGGCTCAGCTCCCCTGTAGTTTTCTGTAGACAAAGGCAGAGATTTATGATTGTTCATGCTGCTGTTAGGCAATTATGTAGGAACAGCACATATTCAGCAGGTCCCCGAAAAAACTCCAACTCTATGAAAATCTAGTGTAGTAAAGAGGAGGAATATTAACAGCGTTAGCATATGGACTGCTACAAGTGCAACAGTTGGGCAATTTCATGTGTTTTGGGTTCTTGTTCTGTACTAGAATGGAGCAGTTTCATATTTGTAGACCCAACCATGCATGTTGAAGTGTGTGGCCACTGGCCGACCTATGTTTTCAGTAATAACAGCTGATGTGATCTGTGATTTCTGAGTCTTGTGCCAACGTGAGTGCTGGGTTTGCCTATATATTTGGGTTGGTGTTCAGCGTGCTGGAAACAACCCATACACACCGCATGCAAGAATCCAGATTCCATCTGGTTACAGCAGGATTTTGTAAAAAATATCTAAAGAGCTAGGCAAAGGATTAGAATAAAGAGGTGCTAATAGGGTGCAGTTGGGACAGGAAAGGAAGCTGTAAAGAATTTAATGGAAAAAGAGGGTCAAGGAACATAAAGAATAAAATAGGAAGAAAAAGAGGCATTTTTTGAAAAGGTGAAAGAGTAACAATAATAAAGAATGAAAGATTCTTTTATTTTTGCCAGTTTCAACAAAACCCTTAAGAAAATTCTGTACTCTGACGTTTTATTTTAAAACATGTCAATGTATCCAATCCTTTTTTCAACCCTGCTTTGCTTTTTTCAGATGCTGGGTTGCAGTTGCAGAGTTCTAATCTCCTCCTTGGCCTTACCAAACTACTGTCCCCTGCCCCACATTATTTGGCTCTCCCAAGAAGTGGCTGAAATTCAAAGGGCTATATAATTTGCAAAGCACTTTGGGATTGTGTTGGAAGAAAGACACTGTTATTAATATCATACTCTTTTTTTTTCTCCCCAGATCACTTTATATATAACATGGGTTACTGCTTTTTATTTTTATTGTAACTTCAACAGCAATAGCCTACTCCTCCATTTATACAACATGATCTCACCCCATCCCAGGAGTTTACAATCCAAATTACATACGGATTGAGAGAGAAAGCAAAGGGACAGTGTAGCCCATTGACTTGATTAAAAGTTGCACAGCACACGCAAAAGAGAAAAAGAGATCATCTCCTGTGACTCAGACCTATGCTCTGGCCATTAGACCTTTCCCCAAAGACAAACTCTCTGTACAGACAATTCTATTTGAATTTTGAGTAGAAGCGTAAGTGCAGATCAAAATGCACAGAACGGAACAGATTTACTACAGAAAGGAAAGCATTGCTCTTTCTTCAGCACTCAGGTAAAGGGCTTAGGTCTGAGTAGAAATGGGAAAGGACCCCACTGTAACGAAATGCTGTAATAATTTTACTTGAAGCCCTAAAACAAATTAGGGCTCATAAAAAAAAGAGCATTGACATGGTGAAAGAGAATGGTTTCTTTAAGATGTTCTTGGTCAGAGAATATGCTAAGCATGCAACTCTAATATCTGGGTGGGCAAACGCAAGTGGAATTTTAAATTCTACAGAGGAACAGAGAATGTGCTTCTGAAAATGTTTCCAATCAGAAGCATGTTAAGTGTGAAAGTGTGGTCTGCATGGAGGGGGTGACGGAGTGTGGTCTATCAGATCATCAGCAAAGGCTTTGTGGCCTTTCTGGGCATCAAGCACATGTGGGATCTGCTGTCATTGCTCTGGCAAAAATGGACCAGTGAGAGTGTCATCGTACCCCTACGCACTCCTGGGGACAAATGCACTAAACCGTGGCTATAAATCGCCTGGTAGGCAATTTAGAATGAAAATTATAAGCTTTCAAGGCAAGAAGGCATGACTTCAGCAACAACTCTGGCTCATGAAGTCCCACTGAGAAAGGGCACTGGTGGCTCCTCGTTTGGGCCTTTCAGAGAAACTGAAATGACAGAAATCCAAGCATCACTAAATTTGGGAAACTTCCTCACGGAAATGACAGTTGCTTCCTTGATGTCACTGGGAGCGTGCTCCCCTTACACACTTGGAAACTCATGGGGTATCTCCCTATACCTTTCAGTACCACTGAAAGCAGCACGGCCACGATATTGCACGGCAGCAGTACTTAGCGCAGACAGGAAACTAAACCTGAACCAGCCTAGCCTTCCTGATGGATTACCTGACACTGTGCTTCCATGTTCCAGGGCACTTTAATCAACATACAGCTCCAATTAGATAGAAAGAAGTGTGCTGTTTCTCACTTCCGCTGTTATTTTTACCAGCTGGGCTAGTTTTGTAAGTGCATTTTCTTGGCTGCTCTTTTTGTACAAGATGCAAAAGCTGGCAGGTTGTTCTGAATAGGCTTTTTCTAGGTATTACTAAGCTTTATCCTAAATTGATTTGGTGTTCCAATTGCTCTCAAAGTGCAGGTCCAGATTCGTCCACAATGTCAAACTGCTTCAGAGTTAACTTTTTGGTGAGGAAACAAACAATACTATTTTGTTTGTTTGTATTTGTCTGTTGTATTTTTATTTGTAAAATGTAATTTTGACCAGAAATGTCACCATTTTATACAATTTAAACCAAAATTAGCTCATCTAAACACACTTTCCAAATTAAGCAAAGAGCTTTGCATTATTTTCAAAGGTTATTACTTACTATGATTAGAGCTTCAATTATTCCTACCGATGCAGAAAGGCACCCCTTGATCTCAAAAAGCATCCTCACTTAGGAAAATATCTAAAATGTGTTTCATTACAATTTCTTGACTTCAGTGAGACTCAGGTACATTTCCAGAACGATGCAGGTGTTACTAGGATTCCCAAACCAAACTACACTCGGGCTAACACGAATCAGAAATACAACACATCAGACCAGCTAGGATAGCTTAAAGTCTGCTTGCTGGCTATTTGCAAGGTTTTTTTATACCTCTCTGTGACAATTAATCAGACCCTACTCTACTGATTAAAAAAACAAAGGTAGACATGTCATCACTGTGACCTTGCCTAGCTGAGTACCACAAGTTGCTCGCTCCCCTCGGAGGCAGCCAAAGGCAAAAGAAAACAATTCTCCAACTGCATGAATGGAGCTTGCATGGAATCCGGACTCACTGGCCACAAATTAAGCGGACTCTGAGGTAATGAAAATCTGATCTGTTCAAAAAAGGAGAATGAGTATTGCAGCTGGAAAGTGTGGCTAACAATGTGTCCCAATGCCTTCAGACAGCTTCACCATGTTCTCCAGATGGAGCCTTTGGAAACGTGTGGTTTGTGACGGAAAAGGATATTGGTTTTTATTACTTTTAACTCCTTACCGTGATTGGCAGGGGTGTGTGTTACATTTCCTGACCTGGGGCTCGGGGCGATTCACTCGCTGGCAGTCACTGTCATTCACCACTGTCATGGTCTTGTTAATAATTCGAGTACAGGACACAATGGTTTTCCGTTCACCTACAAGTCAAATAAAAATAGGATTGAACAATCAGGAACCCAGTACTAAGATATCAAGTTAATTCATTATTAATCAGATCTCACAAGCTAACTCATTGCTACCCCTACTAGAGGTAATTTACACAGACCTAGCAACTCCGTAAGTATTCTTGTTTCTGCCTTCTGTCTTACCTATGTATTGTTCTGCACCTCCAGAAAACCCGCAAATTCTTCTGCAGTAATTGGGAAATTCACTGATCCACAGCAGCTATACATTTGGCTTTCTCTTTCTAGTGTTTCATGTGAAAACAATCTTGGAAACAACCTGCTTTTTAATTTCTGGTTCCTCCTCCACACGTTGCCGTGCCCTGTAATCACCAGGGACAGATGCTCCTGCTCCATGAGCTGCAGGCACACAACTGTCCACCCTCCGTGATGGATAACGACAGGAGAGCTGCCTCTTGCCAAGATAGCAGCAGGGTGGCCCTAAGGGCTCACTATTGTGCTCTGTGACAGCAAGAAAGCTGTGTCACAGGGTAGCATGAGATGACTGCACACCACAAGGAAAATGCCGTCCCTGCACCATGTGACTTTGCCTTGCTGTTATTATTTTGGTTTGTAGCCCCAGGTCTACAACAAGCTCATCTGATTCAGGATCTGCAACAACTAACCAAAAAAAAAAAAAAAAAGTACTGACAACTGAAACTGCAGGTTAGGTGAAACTGCAGAAAGAGAAGCTGACTAAATGAACACAGCTCGGATAAGTAGTAAAAAGCATGTGATAACCAAAAGTCTCATGTGAGACTGACTACCATATCCAAACTCCTACTGGTGGAAACCCTGTTGCCAAGTACTGACTTGATTCAAATATGTGGCAGGTTTGCAATACAAAACAAAATAGATACAAATTTCCTACTCATTTATGTGAGAGCTCAATGTTTGCAAAAATATTTTTTTAAAAGGTAAGTAAAAGCGCTGATTTTAAAATCTATTTACAGAGAGACGAACTCCTTGATTTCAACACACAGTGAAGATGAGCACTCCCTTCTTGGGTCATGTAAAATGATATGTAATTGCCTCTAGTTGTAAATATAAATTTAGTTGTAAATGATACATTTTCCTCAGGGAAAAGCCTACTTCTTCCCGCAGTGAAAACTCAGTGGACAGTGGCTGACAAAGCCGTCTGGCTTCACAGGCATCGTTTCCCCCAGGGTTCAGCAAATCTGTCTCAGCACATCCTAGGGAGTAACTCAGCAGTGTGATTTGCAGTGTGCAAACGCACGCTGAGAAAATCCACCCCACATTAAGAGTGTCTGATGCAATCTCCGGCAGTTGTCACAGCAGCACGGCCGCCGTTTCATCCCTGGGGAAGGAAGTGTCTTTCAGCAAATACACCCGAACACCTGTGAAAACTCTGCTCCAAGAATCTGACGGAGACTTGAGATATGGGGCTGCACACAGCGCCTTGAGCCATCCGCGGAGCTCTAATCCAGGTGCAGCTCCAGCCTACGGTAATGAGCCGACAAAGCAGCATCCCTGCCAAAACACTGGGCGAAAATTAACTGTGGGGATGTGGATGATAGCTGGGAGAGCTGGTGAGAATGAGCTCTCATTTGAGCTCATTATGGCAACATCCATTCCCAAGGCTCAGTTTCCTTCATGTCTTGGCAACGGGGTCTTCTACAGGCACCTCTCTAACGGCTGGTGTCTGCACACACTGTACAGCAAGTCCTACCAAAGTCCCCAATGGCTTTACCTCCTCCACACTGCACACTGCACCCTTCCCATCCGCTGTGCGTCCAAATGTACAAAGAATCCTGTTGCTTTTCTGGCTCGCTTCTGTTTTCAGCAGTATAGTTTACAGGAATGGTGTATTCATAATGAATTCCATAATTCTGGTCGTGAAATAACAGCACCTGGTTCAGCAGGGAAAGAAAGGCTGTTAAAACACACTGTTTACCAGGAAAGCCAAGAGAACGCAAACACGTTAATCCTAGCAATGCTGTTTTGGGCCAGGATTTCTAAACATAAATGCCTCATGAAAGGCAGTGCAATCTTTATCTAGGAACCTGAAATTCAAGAGGTGCTGGTAATACAGGGCATCTGTGAGAGCACTAAGTAAGAGCTTAAGGCTTTAAGGCACTTGGGAGGTGTCTAAACCTGGAATTCGGTACATAAATCGTCACTTTTGTGTAAGCCTCAAGCACGACCAGCAGGCCACTGGCTATTGAAAGAGAAATAGGAAGAAAGTTAGAAGCATTAAATTTGATCAGCTCCTATCACTATAGAAACAGAAACAGCATCTTACCAAATAAAGGATTTTAAGGAGGGCTATTGTAAACAAAAAGAGCAGGTGCCCAACTGAAAAAGCAAATTTGCAAAAGCTGTTCTCCTCCAGAAATCATTTCTTCCCATTAAGATTGATAGAAATCATTCCTACTCAACCGGGAATCTCACTAATGCAGTAGTTGCCATAAGCTCATTTAATCAAAAAGTAGCCATAGGTGCCAAAATAAAAGGTTGACTTGCAACCACTGACACGCTGGCAGTCTGTGCAATGAGCACTGTGCAGCAACACTCAACATCCTTCAGTTAGTCTGCACAGTGCCTAGGTCTGGGCAGGAAAGCATCATCCAGAAGATGCGTTAAACACAGAGAGGATTTTGTTTCAGCTGCAGAGGAAGCTCCACTACTGGAACCAAATGCCAGGTTGAGGCCAACCAGCCACTATTACAGTTTCAAAGATGAAGCTTTTTACACAACTCAAAATGACAGGAAGCCGGGGGCAGAGACCTCGAGTCCTGCTCTGACTAGAAGTGCATGAGGTATGAGCAGCTTGTTCAAAAGTACCAAGGAACCAGCTTGTCTAAAGTATCTCTAGGCTCTGGGAGCCTCTGGTTATCCCCTGCTGCCAAGAGGAGCTCTAGCGCATGGCTAGCTACACAGACACCAATTTCTCCAAGAAATATACTTACAGTAATGCACTTGGAGAAATGCCTCAGGTATTAAGAAAACAACTCCTAAAAAGAAATCCTCATTATCTCAATATGGGAGCAAGACTAGTGAATCTAAAGGCCCATATGAAACCAATTTCAAGCAATCTTGTAGCCACATATAATTGGGGTGTGTGTGCGTGTATGTGTAATTGGTTTCAAATGCAGGTCACAACGGATAGACTGAAGGTTGTGGCTCTCTGTCAGTCCAGCATATCCCACCACTATTTGGACAACAGTTTTCATTTAGAGTTAACTGGTAACCATCCTGCCATTCTTGTGTTGACAGAATGAAACTTGCTATCCTATATCAAGAAAAAGATTAATGTCTGACCTGAGCAAAAGATTTTTTGTGTGCTTTGTTTATGACTCATAGTGATTTTGAGCCACATGCTTTTTTTAATGGCCTAGTAACTTTAACTTTCCTCTTTCTGAATCATTTCTGAGGAAAGGTGAAGAAGGAAAATTTCCTCTGCTCATATCTGCTGAAAATGTCAGTCTGTCCTTGAAAATGGAGAACTCACAGGCATTAGTTTCCTTTGTTAGTTACTTCTTAATGAGAAGGAAAAAAAGTATTTCTTTAAAAACAGGTCTCTACTGATGATGAAGTTTGCAAAATGCTGGCAACAGACTTAATTGCAATAAACCTCCACCAAGTAATGCCTTGGAAGATTCCTAGAGCTGGCGCAGGGATCCTGCACAGCACCATCCCCAAAGGTACCAATGCCACTCCTTTCTCTTATATAGTGTCTAGAAGTTAAGCAAACTTTGGCGGTACAAAATATTTTGTCACAGTCTTGGTTTCAGAAGAGAAGACTTGCATTAAAGAAGTTACAGGAAACAACATATAAATTATAACACTATGTTTTATGCTTTCTTCTCTGTAGAAACTGTAAAGCTTTCTGCATGCATACAGATAGTAACACTCATCTGAGACAGGTATTACTCTGTCTTAGAGACAGAAACATTCAGGTAACCAGAGACATTAAAGGACTGGCCAACAGGTCTCCCCATCCCCTGTCAGTGTCAGCCTGGGACCAGCATCCTGTTCTTCTGACCTCTGCCCAGTTCTGACCCATGTTCTCATGCTGAGTCACACGACCGTTCGCAAAACGACAAGCCCAGTTAACAAAAGGATTATGCTGAACCTTACCAAAAATTTTCAACATGTTAAAATACAAAATAAATAAATAAAAATAAAACAAAGAGCATTTCTATGCAAAAATAAGTCATTGTAGAGGGTCAAATTCATACATATCCTCTATACATACAAAATCACCATACTGCCTGTTTAATTAGCAGTGTATTTAAATACAAAATATATTTTAGCATAAGCAGAGGCACTCAGGGCAAATATCCTTTCTGTGTGTGTCAGTGGGTACGTCTGTGGAAACCTACATCCTTTAAAATGGACTTGTCACCTTGTCTGTGGCACATTACGGGAGTGTCCTCTCCTGGAGGAGAGTCTACTGGGACACTATTTCTTCTCCTAGAACAGGGCTCCAGTTGTTTTTAAGTAAGATGGGTTTTTCCAGCTTTTGCACTGCTGCAAAAGAATGCGAGGAGAGACACAACAGGATAGCTTTGAAAAAAAACTCTGGTGAGGAAGCACACAAGCAAAATTTAACTTTGAGCTAGGATATAAACCCTTTATGTTGCATCACTTAAGAAACACAAACAAAGGATATAAAGTTACCATCAAGTGTAGTGGTATTTTAGTTGGTCCTTTGGCAGAGATTTTCTCCCACAGACCCCTTCGCACGTACCGGACAGTAGTGCCTGCGATCTGAAACTCACCAGGAAGCTCAATTTTCCAGTCGCTGTTAATGGATCTCTTACTGGAATCTTTTAAAGCTGGAAAGAATCAAACACCATGGGGTGAAATGAAAGCGAATCTGTAATTACAATACAGACCATTGAGCTTCAGTCTCAGCCCACCTGAAGCACAAGATGCAGTAGTCTTGTAACAGACATGCGTTTTAAAGAAAAATGAAATATAATTTTAGCTGACTACTGACTAACTTATGCGTATTTTGTATTTCAGTTAATGAAGGTATATCTCACTATATTAACATTGTTACTAAGCAGCAATAATGTGACATATACTGCTACAGCTAAGGTTTTAGTAACAAAATTATTAGCTTCTGCTTCCTAAAGAAGCAACGTTCTCTAGCTTCAGTACTTTGAGGCATTCTCTGTGCTGTTCCACTGCCAGAAAATTTAAACAGAGAAAAAAGAGAGAGAAAAAAAAAAAAAAACTTTCCAGCAGCAGTTTACAAAGAAGAAAATTAACTACCCGATATCCTCAGAACAACATTCCTAATATAGGACTAAACAGTAGAACTCTACCATGCTTTGATCTATTTTAGGAGTGTATCTGAAACACATATTCATGACATAGTGTTGCATTCAGTTAGATAAGAAGTTCTGCTTTTGTGAAGAAAAATCTGCATGACAACAATCTTTTTCTTTGAATTCAGTGAATTTTGATTTAAAGGTAAGCCTAAAATACTGCAGTGAACGTGCAAGAACCCAAAAGCAGAAGTGACTGAGTAGAAAAGGACAGAATTTACTGGCCCATTTTCCTTATACAGTGGAGTGGAGTGCAAAGCGTTAACATAATATTATAAGCATAATTAGTGAGTGATCAGAGCTATCCTTTTCCTAAAAGGATCTCAATATTGTTAGTCAAAGGTTACACAGTAGACATGCAGATGTGCCTGTAAAATAAACATGCCTGGTGTATCTGGTACATAGGAAATTAGCATTTATATCACTTTAATGATTATTCCCAAGTCAAACTAGTTTCAAGCTTCTAAAAATAGATGCCGTTATAAATTTGGACAAGCATACCAAAATGATACGCATGATATAAGAACCTAATACTACAGTAGAGCTGTAGTATAGATCATTTATCTCAATTTATAGATCATTTATCTCTAAACTCTCCTTATAAGATAGCCAGAAAACTTCACATTTAACTAAAGTTTCCAAGCAGAATGAACCTTTGAAACTGTATTTTCCTAAACCCCTTTGAGAAAACCTCAGAGAAACCTCCATGTTGATACATATGTGAAGATCTGCAAGTGCAAAAGGAAAGCGCTCCAGAGCTTGCATGCACTCCATAATGCAAACACCGATCACGGTGCCATTTAGTTTTCATCAGGCTATAGAGGGAAGAACATTGGCTAGTGGGCAGAAAGCAAACTTGGCAGATGAGCTTAATACCACTTTCTGCTCAGGCCTGGAGGGTGAAATATTTCAGCCTGCAAGCACTAGTTACAGGCACAATTTAAAGTGACCAGAGGTTGCTCTGAATTATTCCAGAGGCTTTTTGCCAGGTAAGAACCTGGAGAGGCACTACAAAGCTACAGCAGAAGTGAGTGGTGCTGGTGCCCAGCATAGTGCCTGCTGCCTTATCTGCTCTCAAAACAAAAGGCAGAAGCAGGTGAGACGTTGTCTAGCCCTGGGCTTGGAGACCTGGCTGCAAATGAGGACAAAAGTGGGCAAGGAACTACCTGCCACAGCCACCCTCCTTGCAGAGCCCACGAGCTGCAGGAACATGCGAAACTGGAGCTGCTGCTGATCCACACACCTGCTCCAAGTGCCTCCGCACACGAGCAAGAATGACGAAGCAAACCCAGAGGCAGAAGGAAAGCCCAGGAAGATGATTATTTAGAAGGAAGATCCTTGGAGTATCATGTTTTACCTTCCAGGAAAACCTCTTGCATCAGCATCCCTGAAATTATTCCACTCCAGCCACAAGGACATAGCAGTGCTGTGACTTGCCAGTGCAGGTCATTTAGGGATTTCTGTGCTCTCCACATTACTAGAGAAGCAAAATTATTCAGATATCTGTGTGATGTGCTGAGGGAAAAGAAAATTGGCAGACCCTGTTCTGAAAGAGAGAAAGTCTCAGGTGCCCTTTGAGGAGATCCGTGTTCCACATATCAAATCTGCCCAGACATCAGACAGGATAGCCTGTGTTTTTCAGTTACTGAGTTTCCTTAGTTCAAGGTTTACTATGTCTCTTGGCTAAGCCTTTAACAAGATGTTTTCTTAACCTCCAGCATTTCAAGCTTATTTTATTCTCTCCCAGTTAAAAATAAGACCTTGGCTTTCACTTAAGTGAGTGTGTTGAGAGAAGGTAAGGAGAGTTGATTTAAAGCCTTTTCAAGTCAATGGGAAAATCTCCACTGTCATCCGTCTGGATCACGCCCCCACAGCCTGCAAACCCTTCTAGCCTATGCATGGACTATGTACAATTCCACAGCATGCCTAGGAGGCAGGGAAGTGGGATTCCTGCCCATGGCACTACACTGACTCATCAGCTTGGTCCAATTAACAGTGAGGAGTGCTTGCAGCACTCAACTATTAATAAAGACCTTCCTTTCCTTCTGGTTGGATAATACACATTTATCACCTTCTATAAAGCTATTACAGTGAAGAAGTTAGTGGCCAACTCCTCCCTTCCTTGCAGGAGGTTCAGGAGGAACGAAATCCCAGCTGGACTTCCCTTTGGAGGATTTCCTGAAAAGCTGCTCTGCTCAGCTCAACATGACAAGCTCCACAGGTTCCAGAAGAGCTGGAGTAGGTAAGAAGAGTCACCTGAAACATCCATCACCGCGTACTACCAAAAGCTCCCTCCGCATCTCCAGCGCTCAGTCTTGCTCCCAGGCACTCGGAAAGCATCATCTATGCTGTAAAAATGATCCCTGGCAAACAGGGCCAGGGCTCAGGTCATGGGCCAGGCCAACAAGACTTCTCCCGCACTCCCAGCATGGGTCAGCAGCCTGGCCTTTGCAATAAGCAGGACATAGGTGGTCCATACGGGGACTGGCATCAGTCCTGTTCTCAAAGGCACCTCATGAGGCTGCTATAGATTTAGCTGAGTTTCTGAGCCAAAGTGTTTTCCCCACTGTTTGTCCTCATACCAGTAGGTCCCACCAGTAGACACCAAAGCTATAAAATCCTCTGGTTTCTCGACCAGAGGCTATTGCTCTTCTTCCCATGCCTGGTGCTGCACACACCTACTGCAGGTGAAACACTTCAGCTTGGTCCCTCTCAGTATTTACAGCCCCTGATAGGAAAGCATTTCCAGAGCGTGGGCTCATAAATAACCAGTTTTCCCTAGTAAGGAACCACTAGTGACTTTTCTCCCATGCATCCTTTCCTGTGCATACTTCAGAGGTGGAGTTGCCTCCCTAAAAACTCTCATATGCAGTCCTATCAAACTACACATGGAGCAACAGTTTTCTTTAGGAAGTAGCAACCATCTGTTCTTATATTTCCAGGTTATTTTTTGGCTCAAAACTGTTCAATAGAGGAGCAAAGGGAAAAGGAACCCCAACAACAACCCATAATTTCTCTTTTTCTTGTTGGCTGGAAGACAGGAACTGACCAACTCATTTCTAAACCTGGCATCTAGTCAGATCTTTATTTCCACCTTGGGTCCTTCCAGCTTGATTCCAGGCTGTGGACACAAACTGTGGAGGCATTTCCTGCTCAAGGTGGGTTTTAAGCTTTACAGCCAGCCAAGCCAGCTAGCGTAGGTTGACTGTAGGTGGAGGGAAATTCCTCAAGCACAGCTCCCAGCACATGGAATAATGATTCCAAATTACACTGGGCTCATTTCCAAAGCACTGTACCTGAGTGGAAATTGGGTCTGATTAGGCTCAACTTTGTCAGTCTAATTGAGATAGGAAATCCTTCCGTAGTCAGACCTGCACTTAACTACACATCTTGGGGCATAACAGTGACTGGATTTAGTTCCCTTGGTCACTATCTTTTGTCCTGCTGGAACGTTACTGCTGCCATTCTTTGGCTATCTTTTCTGTGTGTCCAGTGTTCCTGGAATGAGAAAAAGCTCATTTTGAAAGCTCAGGGTTTCTCCTGGTTCCTGACAATGAATCAAAGAGCTGAAAGTACATGGAAACTTTAAAATGACCAGATTACCACTTGTCAGGTTCAACTAAGAACCATACAAGAATTACTATCTCTTTGTCATGTATGCAAAGTCCAATTCTGCTTTCAAATATACACAGTCTTGAGCCACCCCTCAGTGGAGAGATATCTGCTTAAGTCAAGGTTATGTGCTCATAACAAGCAGTCACTAGCAGCGACTAACTCTCAGATTCTTTATCTACCAGAGCCTGAGCCCCTGACATATACCCTGTGCAAATCCCACTAAGACAAACCAAAAGGCTGGCTTCCAGAAAGCAGAATGCTTGCAAAATCCAAGGAAACATTGGTTCTCTTTGTTCCGCCAGTGCTTTGCTATGTTAAATATCTTCCATGTAGGCGTAATCCTCTCCCAGTGATCTGGCTGCAGCATCAGCAGAAATAGTAGCAGCAGCAACATACACGTCCCACCAAGAAGTGTCATGAATGCCAATGCTTTAACCCAAGGGCTGTTGAATGACATAATTCATCCTTCTTTCTTTTCCCCAAAGCTGGAATGAGACAGAGATGAGAAGCCTCTTTACCAGTGATTTTGCCAGCTCTGGTGGCAGCTCAAGGCAGAAAACTACCAGCACTAGACCCGAAATCCCAACACAAATTCATTCTGTAAATGTTTTCAGCAGCATTCTATATCCTGTTACCAGATATTGATATCTCCTCTTGGCTGCAAAGGGGAGGAGGATTATAAGGAAGACAAACAGAAACTCGAACCCAGGATTTGAAATTCAAAACCAGGATTTAGACTGAGCTTTGCTATTGACTCACTGTGCAGCCACAAGCAAATCACAGTACCTCAGTTTCCCGTTTTGCAAAATAGAGGAGGACAAAGGGCAAGAAGACTTGTTATCCTTTGGAGTCCTTACCACAGGCCTGCAAACAGTTCCATCTTTCAGAGCATTTTTGTGCCCTAAAACCCATCAACATCTCCAGCCTGAGACCTTCACTCTGGTAGAACCTGAATAGGCACAAGTGAGAAGAGTCCCAGTGTGTAGATGATACTCCTGAGAACAGGGGAGAGCTGGAACATGTACCTGCTCCAACCACTGCAACCAGAACATCAGTGTGAGGAAGGGCAGAGACACTGTTCGGTATCAAAGGAGAAAAAACACGTGCCAAAGAACTTAACAGCAAGAAATGCCTGGGTTTGACAGTGCAGGGAACTGCACGCTGCAAAAGCTCACTAGGTACAGAAGGACTTGGCAGGGGGAGGGGGGTGTCTTTTTTTTTTTTTTTTTCCTCTTCCCACAGATAATAGATCCACAGAATGAAGAATTCAAAAAAGGCAGAAGCACCTCCCCGACGTGTGACCATGCAGCATAGAGTGGGCAAAGGAAGTTTCAATGTGTGGGGTGTTGTTTTGAATCTTGGGCAACCTTCTTTCAACTCCCTGCAGGAGCATAATGCAGAGCATAAGAACTCCCACCAGGCCTCCTGTGCGAATTCAGGGCAGTGGGATATGAGCATTTCTAAGACTTAGATGAGAAACTAGCCTAGAGTAAACTAGACTAAACTCTAGAGTGGAGACAAAGAATTTAATCTATCAGAGATAAAAGACTTCATAAACTGCACAGTAATGACATGATAAGGAACACTTATTTTTTTGAGATGAGAGGCAGATGACCAGGCTGACAGATGCAAACACGATTAGCTGCGTTTTAGAAATGCCCATCCAATCCTGAACTTGATAACTGGACAATGAATTTGTCCTAGAGCAACATACACACATAGGGCTGAAACTGTTTTTTTTTTTTTTTTTTCTCTCCAAAGGACAAAGGAGGGACAGGAAGTCTGTTAACAACGTGAGTATTGCAGAAGCAGAAATGAGAAATGAGAGGATTAAACCAACGATTTGGTCTGAGAAAATATAGGCAAGCGGACCAGAGGCTGCATCTGCCCATCTTGGACTGCAAGATCTGGCTTTGGGTACAGCATCAAGTGAACACCCAGGTATTCCTGGCAGCTTTGTGCAACACAATGGCAAGTGCTGCTCAGGAACCCTACTGCCCACGTACAATATTCTGTGGTCCTTTCTGGGGGCACAGGGCCTGTAAACATCATGCGTTTCCACATCAAATCAACACCTTGAAACTAAGCCAAAAAAGCAGGCAGCAACTGCAACAAGCATGAAAGCAACAGCTACTTCTTGACAGCAACAAACCTGTCATCTTACGGGTCATTTTAACAGAAAACAGACCTTAGTTTTTAATTAAAAACATTTTTTTTCTCTTTTGTCTTTTTTTACCCAGAAAACTGTGAGCAGGTTTATCCTCAACCACTCTGATCCGTCGGGCACCTGCAGGGATCACAGCTGCTTCGATGTAACCTGTGGCAACACAAGGGCACATGGGTGAGAGCATCCCCCAGACACAACCCCACAGCATCAATCATGCAGTATCTCACCGAGAAAAAGCAACTCCTGCCCAGGTTGGGGAATGGTGGGAAACACTTCAAATGATCCCTGCTGTGGCAGCCCAATTTCACTGTTGTGACTTGCATGGTTATGACTAACTACTCCAGCCTAAGAAGAGGGAGGAAACGCACGTTTGCTGTATAGCTCTGCCTTCAGGTTTGTGCCTGGGCCTAATTAGATTTGCTTCGTTTGCATCAGCCTGGCCTTTCTGGACACTGACAGAGATGCAGAAGGACCATCTCAGAGCTGGTGCAAAGCGTTACGGTCAGGAACAAGACTGCAAGTTACAGAGCAGGACACCTGTGATCTGAAATTTTGTTCCCAAAAGATGCTCCTGATTTCCCCTTGCAGAGAAATCTTCTCAGGGCTGTGAGCGGAACCATCAAAGTCCCTCTCCACAAAACACGCAGGCCAAACTAAAACAAAATAGCAGGAATCAGTGCGAAAAGCGTGGAAAATAAGTTTGTTTTCATTTACACATGAGCTTTATACAAAAATTCTGCAGGATTTTATGGTTAATGGACTGTTCGCATTAGGCTGCTAAGCAGAATTCCACAGCTCAGATTTCCTTCAACAAGAGAGCTGGAAGTTTATCCAGGACTGGCCACCAGTCACCCCAAAACCCTGCCAGCAGCAGCGCAGGCCAGGCTGAACCATCTGAGCAGCTGACATAGAAGGGAAGTTTTTACAGCACCCCATCATATTTTTATAGAAGTCTTTTGGTTTTTATCTTTCTGAAATTCTGTTGGCCTCTTCATGCTCCCTACAACTACCAGCAACGTGATACAATTATACCCTTTTTGACTCAGAGAATAAGATAACGAATAATTAGGAGTTATGGAAATGCAGGCTCTTTCCCCCCTACAGGCCCGTCTGGAGTTACGCTCCTGTTCCATGGGGTGGAAGTGCTGCCTTTAAAGGAAAATCTGAGGGGCATGAGGGCCATTTCAAAGGCCTCGGAGTCCAGGAGTGTTTTTATACTGGCTTCACTGGAGTCTGTAGCGAAACACTGACACTGTAAGTGACACTAATCTTACTGCAACTGTGATTTGATTCTTTCTAATTGGCCACCCAATTTACTTTGCTCTGTGTAACTTGGTGATGACAAATCTCACTTTTCTTTTAGAGGTTACGTAGTTCATTCTTGTATTTTCCCTCTTCCTTTTTTGCTTTAAAAGGCTCTGTGAGGCTGTCCTATGCCAGCCTTGCCTTTAAGGCCCCTCTAGACCAACAGGTTGGAGAAATGCTGGGGTAAAGAGCAGCAATTGCTGTTGAACGGCCCTGGTTCTGCTACACTGATCGGAGGGGCCACACACAGGAGGATGCTGGAAACCTCGTGCACCTCAGGAATAAGTGATTCTCTCAAAGCCATGACAGGGAGGTGGCATTTTGGGGGATTCAGCCTGCAGATCCACTTCTCCCCGGCTGAGGCAGCCCGCTGCCCGGTCCCTCTGCTGTGCTGTGAATAAGGCCTGATCATTCAGGGTCTGCAAAGTGCTTCTGCAAAGCTGATTCGGCCCAGAAACACTCCTCCTTTCCCTGATCATTATTTTGGATTAAACTTTTCCTTTGTCACTTCCGCTCAGTTCTCCCTGCACTTGTTCCTCTTTATTTAGTTTATTATTTTATGTACTTCTCCTTTGGTCAGGTTGTCTCAATCATCCCTTGCAGCAAAAACGGAAAGAGGGACAACAGGGCTGCAAACCACATCCCCTATAAAGGGGTTAGAGCAAGAGCTCTGCCCTCTGCTACTACAGAGTGGGCTTCAACTGGGAACAATTTCTGTTCCCAGGGTGGTTTTTTGAAAGCAACAGTGAAATCTGTTATAAAATCGAAGCAAACAGACGTAGGATTCTATTCTTGACATTGCCAGGAGTTGTTTTTTCATTGGCTGAGATACTAAATTACAATGAAATAGAACATCCTAGGAGAGAAACCCTTATTGCCCCCCTGTGCATCTGCACATAAACCCGACCAACAGTTACCAGCAGACGTGAGCACCCAGCCAAGGTGTGATTAACAGCAGGCCACCGAGGTGAAACAGGCCCTATGACACACCTCAATACCCCCGTTAGGAAGCCACTTTGGAACATGCCCAAGTTTCAGGTAATTTAACATACCTACTGGGAGACTATTTACTTACTCATTTTCTTTTTTAATCACAAGGCAGATGCAAATGCCCACAGCTAAATCACGCAGGGCTGGATACAAAATCACACTGAACTTAGTGGAAAACCAAGCACTGACTTCAGTGAACTCTGGATCCGGCCTGTGACCCTGCAGCAGCCAGGAGTGTGTCCCAGGGCTCCGGAGGGGAGCGAGCCGCGGAGCCGGACCCGAGGCTCAGCGAGCGCCATAAATACGTTCGCATTTCATCACCATGCCATGAGAGAGACTCCACGTGGAAAAGCTGACTTTTATGTTACTTTTTACAATGGTAAATAGTGGAGTATAAGCTATTAATAGGGTATTAGTTCTGGAGACTGTTTAGTTTGGTCTCGCACCAGGTTTTTCTCCTCATGTAATTCCTAATCCTGATTGATGGCTTCGGGGGGTTGTATTCGCAGCTCCTGAATACAAACGTGCTCCGGTAACTCCCTGAGCTCATGTGGCACAAACCCGACTGCTGACCTTTCCTTTTCCTGTAGTGAACCAAGAACCACTTTGCAGTTGCAGGGATCTGAACTGTCCGTTCAGAGGCGATGCAGAACTCTTGGGCATGTCCCATGGAAGTGTCTTGACACTCTTAGTCACAGTTTCCAGCAAGACTGTGCGAGTTAGTGGTCAAATCCTACCGCAAACATATTAAATACACCATCCATGCAGTTCTGCCACAGGCACAAACTCAGATTGCTATCAGCACTCCAGTCTGGTGCACAGAGCTAAAGTCAGGCTGCCGGTCACAGAATATTCCTGATCTTTGAGATAAATGCACTAGAAAACATCCCCATTGTTTTCCAGGCACGTTTTATTAAGCAAACTGTAACTGCAGATTGCCAGAAAGATTATCAAGTGTCAGCTAGTACGACCAAAAAAAGTCTCCGGGTTGGCCCGGAGTCAAGGACTCTCAAAGATCTGTTAGGTCTTAGGATAATTGTCTGCAATGCAGGAGTTTGCAAGGTTGGGTTTAAAGTTCTGTTTTAAATGAGGAGCTGGTTAAAGACTGATGAGATTTGGCAACTATCAGGCAGTATTTCTAGTAATTTCACCCATAAATCACCCTGTTAAGATGAAGCTTTGAAAGTACAACAAGAGAACTTCATTATTTGATAATTTATAGTGCTGTATGTAGTATACTCCACCTTGGGAACAGTTACTTTGGCACACACCAATCTTTCTGGATAATCTGCATTACATCAGTGTCTCAGGAATGTAAGACTGTGATTGAAGCAAATCCTAGATACAAATTATATGGTGTAACTCGTATTAGGAGAGACACCAGAACAAAGGGGTGGCTTTGTCATCAAGCAGATTAATATGTGAACAGTGGCTACTGTATCCTCATTTAAATGCTGGAGAGATTTGCAAGAGGAAGGCAGCTCGCACAGGAAAATCCATTGTTAGCCATCATTATTATTCCCAGAAAGAAGAGAAAGTTTAGTGTGAATTTCATAATGTCACTGATCTATTACAGAGCTGTTCTCCTGGTTGGGACCGTAGTGAAATGTGGACTCTGAGGTAAAGGAGAAATTATCCCATGGCTGGAAGTATTGATCCCTGGGCACTGAACCTTCATATCTTTCTCTTGTACGGACATGAGAAAGGCAGCAGTGCTCACCCTGTTATCCTACTCCAAAAGCGTCTCAATGCCAGGTCTCAATTTGGTAGCCAAGGAACTCAGGCTGCACCATCTACCTGCTGGAGAGGAGCAGTGCTGCTTCCCTGCTGTCTGAGGGATGAGAACCAGCTGGGCATCTCAGTCCCCAAGACCATTCACCACATTTACCGAGTGCCAATTGCTGCAGTGTTGTGGAAATATGTCCTTAGTAACAATATGTTCATTTTCTCAGCAGCCAAAGATTGCAACGATTTTCACTCGCTTTTAGCTTAATTCTTCCATGGGCATCTACCCAACATTGTCCACTTACAGCCATGGGATTGCTGGCTTGGAAAAAAAAATTCATACAGAAGTTATGGATAGATTTCAAAGCTTCCTACTATTGCTGAATGGTTCTTTGCAATAATTTCTGGCCCGTGTGCCCTACTTAAAACCCTCATAAGACACCTCGAGTTATTCATGGGGCTCCATTTTCTCATCATTTCAATGTACAACATATTGACATGAACAGAATTTCTTGTACTGGTTAAAGACATTCTTAGCCAGCAAAATAAATAGTCTGCTTTTTAATCATCTTAAAAAAATAAAAGGCAAGTAAAGACTCTCTTAGTCCCCAAAATCCTTGTTACAGTAAATAGTATATCTCATCTTATTATGTTTGTCATTAAAATGTCCAAGTACATGCGGGGTGTTTTTTTTTTTTTTTTTCAATCTCAGGCAAAGAGCAGCAATGATAATCTCTGTGTTCTTGAGAAAGATCAGTGGAGATGAGATGCAGTGGGAAAAACACCTCATTCTTAAAGGAACAGCCTCAGAGCCTGGGCAGGTGTCTTCTTAGAAGCCATTAGATAAATTATTAGAAGATTTAGATAATTTTCTAATTACCTTATTAGAAGATTTAGATAAATCAGCTACTGAACAGGTATGGTTCTGGCTGCCCTGTACTACGAGGGACAGTGACAGGAGAACTGGGATGGGCTTGGTAACATCTCCACTATGGGATCTCTTCTGAGGGACTTTGAAGGCTGCATGTCCTGCCCTGCCTGCTGGCAGAACCTTGCAAAATCTGGGACAATCTTACTGGGGAAAAAAGAAACAGATCTAGGATTTTGTCACTCGATTAATGGAAATTTAGCTTTCTTTCATCCAGAAAACTTTTCTAAAAGGAAAGGACCTGTACACCTAATACTTTTGACACACCAAACTGAATAGTAAAAGGATTTGAAATCTATCCATGGCTTTTGATAACAATCTTCCCACCTAAAAAAAAAAAAAAAAGAAAAAAAAAAGAGAAGAAACCACAGAACCAACACCAAAGGATGTCACCAACACCCAACAACACTGCAAACAGCATTCAAGCATCTTACACGAGAAACACTTGGGAACAGCCTTTGCCTTTGCCATCACACACGTGGAAACCTTCTTACAATGACTATTGGTTACTAAGAAACAGAAAGGAGTTGGCATGGATTTAGTTCAGTTAAATGGTGCTTGAGAACATGATTTGTAGTCACAGGACATACAGGGACTAATCCTGCTATCAGTGGAGTCCCCACTTGCAGAAGGCTCCGGATACCACTCCACAACAACCAACATCTTGCTACTTGATGGCCAACTTCTCCTGCAATAAATCAGCACACTTCATGTGGCATGTTGGCCTTGAGTTAGACTGCAGCAAATTCATGGCAATTTGTCACTGACTTGTGCAATCCTGTACATATCTGGGCCCTGAATCTGCTACCGTATTTGCATTGTGTATTCTCAACTGCCCCCAACTTTCATTAAAATTAATCCACAAATGAAAATATTATTTGTAATCTGGTTGAAAAAGATAAAAGGTGGCTCCTCTTCAGAAGCAACTAAGAAATTCATGAACAGCTGTAAGACACGCTACAAATACAGATAACAGTTTTCTTAGTGCAAATTGGAAACACTTTACATTATTTGCACCAAATGCAAATTCCTTGTCACAAGTAGGTAAAAGCCAATCAGGGCATGACAGGCAAACCCCTCCAGGAATCATTCAACAGGTTGTCCTAGCAATGCAGCAGTGCAAACGTGCTCCTGAAATATCCACGGAGGTGGGAAACCCTACCCACACCTCAGAGGATACGACGGTCACGGCTGGCTCTGCTGGTAAGGAAGGTGCAGAGGAAGAGATCAAGGAACAGGACCAGAGCCCCAGGCTTCAGTGCTGAGACTGTGATTCAAGAACGCTGCTGTTTTACTATCATTAACCACAAGTGTGAGCTTAAAGGAGGTCTTTATGTGCTTTGCTGAATTTGGTCCTGCAGTAGCACGTATTGAATGTATTCCTGCATGTGGAAATGGCAATTTTGCATTACAGGAATGAAAAGGTATTTATTTCTGGACAATTCCTTCCTCCTAGAGCAGCTTGCAAGTCCCAGATCTGGGTTTCTCTCCCTTTGCCTGATCAGGACGGGTGATAACAGGTTTCTCAGAAGACCAGAAAGGAAACTCTGAAACAAAGACTAATTCCCACACAAAGCTGCACATACGTTCATGTGTAACAAGAGAGGGAAAAGTCTTAAGTGTGATGGAAGTTCTTTTAACCTGTACTGATCTATTGCTGTCAGGGAGTCAGGAAAATATTTAGAGGGGAGGTCTCTTTAATTAAGCTGAGATCTCCTGATTATAACATGAATCATCTGGAATATACAACATGCATCATTCTGAAACCCCAAAGAGTTCTAAGAGGGTGCTGAAATCAGACTTTTCTCCCACTGGAGAAGATAATATGATTTCATCTCTTCTATTTAAAATCAAGAGCACTAGTGGCATTCAAAATGAGAAACTTCATGCTGAATTTCAAATAGAGGCAATGGCTGGTACCTGGGCAATGGAAGAGGAAGCAAAGACAGCATCACATGAAATGACTGTGTCCTAGTGTGTGTGTGTGTATATATATATATATGTGTGTGTGTGTGTGTGTGTATACAAAGTTTTGGAAGCTGCACAGCCCCATGAGGCCTGATCCCAGGAAGTTCTCAGCACTTCCAACAAACCATCTGAAAAGAGGCTCAGCAAGTGACAAGATTGAACGCTGTTTATCTCTCCTTGCATACCTAGCCACTCAAGAAGATGACTAGGGGCATTTAGCAAAGGAGAGTCAACATTCTTATTCTTGAGTATCTTTTCACTGATTCCCCACTGGATATTTCCCCAGAAATTTCCCTAGCATCACAACTGGAAAGAAACTGGGAAAATCAGTGGTGCTAAATCCCCCACCTATGTCTGCAAGAATAAAACGTCCTGAACAGTCAGAACCATTTAGACATCTACATCAAAACCTATAATTTTAGGGCTTTTATGTCTACCCTAGCAGGTAAGCCAAGTACTACCCGAGAAGAGTATCACTACCTCTTGATTCTCCTCAAGCGGTTAAGACAGTTTGACCACACTGAAATGCTGCTGAGGGTTACTCACCCATCCCCTTGGTGTGGTTGAAGTCGCCTTTCACCACTTTGCAGGTTTTGCCATCACCACTGCAGACTCCACAGCGATCCTCTTTGGCAGCTGAGCCAATGATTCCATCGCAGCCAATTTTCTAATGACAACAACCACAGGTCCCCGTTATTTTGTTTGCAAGGTTAAAATATCTCTAAACATTGAAGTTGAGCCTCTATAGATACACACCTGACTGAAAATCTGAAAGAGAAGAGCACGCTGTGAATTAGGAGAGCACCCATCTGAAACTGTTCAGCTGGTTACTCGGCAATGCCCAGCAGTGCCCAATACTACGTGCCAGAACTCTGACTCAGAAGACTGAGGAGAGTTTCCCACAGTACTCAAGGCATTGCCATTGATTTTGTGTTGAATCACACTAATTTGTTTCAAGTTTGTTTAGCACTTTCCATCTAAGAAGCTCCAAGGCATCTCAGAGAGAAGGATCATGACTACTACAGTGTGTAACTCAGAGAAGAGGGAAACGTGGCTTGCTTAACTTTGCTGGAAAATTCACTCAAGTAACCTCAGCTCTGGTGCTAGCTATTTACCACAGAAAAAATCAGAGTTCTGTCGCAAGCTCCAATGTGCTGCTCGCTGAAGAAGCTCCACTTTGGATTAGGATCCTTCAGGGGTTTTTGCAATAACTGAAAAAAGATCCCATTAGTGAATGGCTCAAGCTACCTGCAACGCACAAATCCTTAAATGGAAGCAGGAGAGGACATTCAGCTTTGGCCAACCTGTACACCTAAGGACACTTATATAATACAGCGTTTGCTCTGTATTAATATTCAATTGTAAAAAATACATAATGATTTCTCCTAAAGCTTCATTTAAATTGGTATTTTCATAATTCTCTACCAATCTAATTGTTTACCGAAAAAAAGTGCAGTTTTACTTCTTCAGACAGTTATTAACAGAATGGTCAAATTTTTATTACTCATAGGCCATTTATAGACTGATAGGGCTAAAATGCAACACAATTAGGCATTATACCATCACTGCGACCATTTTGTGTAAATTCTTCTCGGTTCATGTCAGACTCTCAGAATGACCAGCAACTCAATCTTAAAACATACATTTCTCCTGAAACAAGAGTTCTCATCATGCATCATATTAGCAGAGATTTTCCTGCTAAAAATAAGCTCAAGATATATTCTCTCTAGGTAAACAATTTCCTGGCAAATGAGTTAGTGGGACTGTCACTAATAATAATACTTTGAATGAGGCTGGTGGGTCTCCCATTTCTTTGCCTTCTAAAAGTAAAGCCAGAGAAAAGTTGAAGAGATATCTTACAGAAAAATCAAAACAACAAACATTTTGAAAAATAAGGAAAATGGGGAAAGATTAAGAGAACCTGGACTGTTTATCTGAGACTGCATGTATCTAAGCAGCGTAATTTGGACCTGAGCTCAAACCTTCTCCTTACTCTGGCCACTCCACAGTCCAGATGTATTTCAGAGAGCAAAAAAACCTCAGAAATCAG